TTTTTTTTTTTTTTCGAAACGATGTTTCGCTTTTTGGCTTTTGGCTACAGCGTTGTAACACAAGACCGGATTTTGTACTGCTGTTAAATCGAAATTAAAGGTTTAGAATCAAACCAACCAGACTGGTTGCTAGTCTAAGGCAAGAGGAGAGGAAAGAGGAGTTGAGGCAACGATAATGACAGCTTAGAAGTTTGGGAGAAACTGGAGCATTCAAGATGTAGAGTAGTGAAGAGTTGGGGTTTTCTCTTTTGCTACTGCTGCTACTGTTGGTGTTAATGCTATAAAGAATTTTTTGTTTCTTTCGCATTCAATGAGCTGAAGGAATGTTGATCAGCTGTCAAAGGTACCAACACTAAACAATCGTCGACATTATCACCAAAAAAAATCTAATTCTTTTGGAGAACTGGATTACGTCGAATAAGTTTTGGAAATAAAAAAGCAAAGAAAAAAAGTCATCTAAATAAAAATAGAAAAATAAGAAAAGCGGTAACTGCATACAACTGACAATAACAGTTTCTTCACTCATAGTGCTTATTGTCTCTTTATTGTTTTTGCTCTTGCTGCAGTAAATAGCACATAATTTGGTATCACACTTCAGGTGCTTGAAAAAAGAAGAAATTGAAAGATGGAGAATTTTTGAGCACAAATATATAATAAACATTAAGTCGTTAAATGGCTATAACACTTCGTTTGATTTTTCCAAAAGCAATGGCTGCGGTAACAGCAGCACTAATAACGATAGATGATAAAAAAGTAAATCAACATGTTATTCTGCTGTTCCGGTGTTATGTTAGTGATAACGACTACAATGGTAGTGGTGATGATGCTGATGTTGGTGACGGCAAAAATGACGTTGACGATTATCGTTGATGGAGAGGAAGACTGATATGAAAATAATCTGGTGATTGTAACGGTGGTGCTGCACAGAATGTGGCAATGAAGTGATTTTGTTGGGGATGGTACCGCCGCATTGTCTGCACAAATTGGATGCCTTTTACTGATCGTTGTCGTTCTGCTGTTAAAGCAATTTTAAAAACGGAGAAAAGAAAGGAAAATAAGAATTGTAAAAACATCAGAAACCAAACGATAATGTTTCAATAAAAAAAAACTTTTTTTCACATATTTTCTCATTTTTTCTTTCTCCCCACCCCATTATATCTCCAGATCCATTTTGGAACCATAAAATGACTGTCC